GCTTGTCCAGCAGGAAGAAACACAGGCCATCGATAAAGATCACGACGCAGGCCGAGCGAGGGTGGACCGGGACAGACGCTGGGACACCGTGACAGCCTCCTGGGACGGAGCAGGGGGCCCTGAGCAGGGTCAGGTGGTTTTCTCCCTCACGCCCCACGCACCCCACACGGGAGCCCGCTCCTGCCCTCACACCGGCTCTCAGCGTCACTTCTCCGCGCCTATTCCAGCAGTCAGCTTCCTGTTGTAGCCAACCTCTGCCCTCTTGCCTGGGACCCAGCTCCCTCCCGGGTGCCCCGGGACCCGGCTCACTGCGCTCCTCCGGCATCCTAGGATCCTCGCACTCGCCTCCCGTCCCCACAGCGGTGCCTCAGACCACACTACCAGCTCGAACAAATATGAGAGAGAGAGAGAATCATCCAGAATGGAAGGGTGAACATGACTTCCGATCCAGAGAAGTTTCACGTGCTGTAACGAGGAGAAATCCGTGCACACACTGTTGTTTCCCTGAATTTGTCTTCTCTTCTTAATGACCACAGTTAGCCCCAGGGGAAATACAAAATAAACTGAGGACCATAAGAAGTCACTGTTGTTAAACATGTGTTCCCCAAACAGCCCCAGGGTCCGCTGGTCTTAACCAGACTTGGAGGAAGGAGCCAGCCCGTCCCAGGCAGAGTGCAGAGTGCAGGGGCGAGGAGCCCCCCCCCGAGACTAAAGCTGGGCGTGGGGCATGTGGCAAGAGGGCAGATCTGCCGTCGGGGTGGGGGGAGGGGAGCGGGGAGCGGCAACTCCCAGGAGGCCAGCAGGAGCTTCCTGCAGATACTGGCCGAGCTCCCGGGGTGGGGGGCCTGCAGAGGGGAGGGGACTGGGCTGTACCTGGTACCATTTTCTGAGCGCCTGCGGCTTGCCTAGTAACACAGCCATGAGCAGACGTGTCAACCACATTTCATAATTTAAATTTAAAAAGAGGCCTCGCTCGCTGTGTCTCCTGGGAGGGCCCAGAAGATAGGGCACCCCTGTGGCACTGTGCACAGCCTGCACGGAGTGGGGCCCAACACCACTCTGCAACGCAAGGAGCCGGGGCCCCTGGGGAGGTGGCTGCTTCTAGCAGCGGGGCAGGAAATGCACGCGATCAGTGCCGGAAATTAAGGAAGCGCCCCGGAGTCCACAGCTGGGCGATGTCCGAGGGACGTGGGATCCGCCACAGAGCTCCCAGGGCCTCGTCGGGAACGATTCGGCTGATAAACTAAAGAACACGACCCTGGACTCCGACTCGGAATACACTACATGTCCAGGGGCCCGTCCTCCCACCGTGGTTCATCCGCAGCTTCACGTCCAGCACTTCCAGTTCCCGGTGGTCAGCTACCGCCCAAAAATACCACGTGGAAAATTCCAGAAATGAATACTTCCGAAGCGTCCCGCCGCCTGCCAGTCTGAGCGGCGTGATGAAGTCCCGCAGCATCCAGCGCTGTCCGCCTGCGGCCCGAGCCGTCCCTCGGTCCCGCGTTTCCGGGCTGTCTGTGCCGCCCGCCCGCCTGCCCCCCGCTTTGCATCTCAGTGGCCACAGCAGCCGTGGCAGCATCACAGCGTTATGTTCACGTCACCCTGACGTCACTTGCTGACGGCCGCAGACTGCGAAAGTCGTGAAGAAACTGGGCACTGTCCTGGCATCGTGAGCACACTCGGTAAATGCCCACTTCTATCCAGTGTCAGGTCTCCGTCTCCGCGCCAGCGAGTCGTCGTAAAGTAATGGTATTCAGAAGCAACAGGTGCACACAGGACCCTCACCGTGCCCCCTACCGGTGCCTCACCAGGGAGACAGCTTCAATGGCTTTGTTGGGCCCCCAGCCCACCCCCGGGGTCCTCCCACCAGACCCCCAGACACAGGCACCTCCAGGGCTCTCTGTCTCCAGTTCCGTGTTCTAGGTGAGGAGCCAGAACAAATGCTTCCAACTGAACGGGCTCCTCTCACGCAGACCTGCTGTCACTCCAGGCGGGTCGCCCGCTAGCCTGTGTCTGTTGCACTGTCCAGTCTCCCCCCGAGGCGACGCGTCCCATCCCGGTGACCATCACGGGAGCCCTAGGTGGTTGCCACTCCCCCCTCCCCCAACCGCGGGTGATGCGTCTCCTTGCAGGAGGCCTCTGCAGGTGATGGAAAGTCATAGAGCCATCAAGGCAGGGTCTGCCCTGGGTGAGGGCCCGGCCACGCCACGCCACGCCACGCCACGCCTGTGTCAGGGCCAGGGAACCCTCCCTTCGTCTTTGCCAGTGGGTCCCCCTCGGACCCCTCCCCCAGGACAGTCACACATGAAGGTGTCCCCGCGGGGTCCTGGCGGCCCAGGCCCCCTCCGTCTTGCAGGGGGAGAGGGAACAGAGGCTCCCCCGCGTCGTCCAGCTCCCCTCCGGGCGGCTCGGCGGGTAACTCGATCCGGGTCAGCTGGCGAGCATGAGGTAGCGTCTAGCGGAGCGTCACGGTATTTTATGAAGTCCGAAATGTGATCGCTACTGTTGTCGCACTTTAGCGCCCCCAGCAACCCCCTCGCAGATGAGGAAGCCAGAGCCTCCCACATACCTTTCCCCTGACATCAAGGAAAGCCCGGGGAACCCTGCCCAGGGCCCGAGCCCCCGCGACCCCCAGCGCGGCCTTGGGGAGGGGGCGGTTTCCAGCTTCAGGCAAAGCAGTGCCGGGGTGGAGATCCACCGTGGGCTCCGTGCTCCGTGGGCCTGGGTCTGTGAAGTCAGCAGCATCACTGGCACGAGGGGGTGGCCGGTCCAGGCTCCTGTGCCTGGTGGGCACCTGTGGACCCACCAGGGACTGAGTCACCAGCAAAGGTCAAGTGCAGCCAGGCAGAGGCCCCAGGCCACGCGGCCACGGTACAGGAGTGCAAGCCCCACGCTGTCGGGGAAAATGCCTGAGAGCGACTGAGAATCAGGGAGAAGGGGAGGGAGAGGGCCCTCGGTCTACAGGCGGCCGCGCTTTCGAAGGTGTTCGCAGAGCCTAGCAGTTAAGACACCCATCGCTGATCAGAGCGCCTGCGTCGCGAGCCAGCTCTGGCCCGACTCCAGCCTCCTGCTAACGCGGATCCTGGGAGGCAGCGGTGATGGCTCCAGGAGTTGGGTCCCTACCACCCACACTGGAGACCTGGATGGAGCTCCTGGCCCAGCCCAGGCTGTTGTGGGCCTTTAAGGAGCAAACCAGCGGGTGGGAGAACCTCTCTCTCTCTCTCTCTCTCTCCCCCTCAAGTAAAAAAATAAACATAAAACATTTCTGTTTCAGCCTGGGGTAAGCTAAGTAGTTCTGTCTCCAGGCCAGTTTGCAAGCTCTTCCTTTTTTTTTTTTTTTTTTCCTGTTTTTTTTTTTTTTTAAGATTTATTTATTAATTTAAGAGGCAGAGGGAGGTCTTCCATTGCTAGTTCACTCCCCAAATGGCTGTAAGGGCTGGAGCTGGGCCAATCGGAAGCCAGGAGCTTCTTCCAGGCCTCCCATGCGGGTGCAGGGACCCAAGCACTTGGGCCATCTTCCACTGCTTTCCCAGGCCATAGCAGAGAGTTGGATCAGAAGTGGAGCAGCCGGACTCGAACCGGCGCCCATATGGGATGCAGCACTGCAGGTGGAGATTTAGCCTATGCCACAGCGCCGGCCCACAAGCTCTTCCTAACTGGACTTACAAGGTAGCGGAGAAGCTGATGCCTGCCTCCTCTGCCCCCGGAGCAGCCCCGGCCACCGACTGCTCTGCACTGGTGGAAATACAAGCTCCGCTCAGCAAGCCCCCCCGCCCCCCGGCACTGAGCTCTCAAACTAAAGCTAAGGAACTGAATTTAAACTTTATTTCAGTTTAAATTAATTAAACATAGCTATAAATATCTATGTATGGCTGGTTGCTGTGGTGTGGGAGAGCATGGCCCTACATGCCTAAGTGCTCTTAGTTCCTTAAAGTGTGGGCGGGACCACTGTGGGAAAGGACACGCCCTCCGACAGGAGCCTTTACAGTACATCCCAGACCACCAAGCGCTGACCGCAGTCATGGGAAGAAGGCAAATAGGAAATAATGAGCAAAGGCGCTTAGGCGCACCCTAGACATCCGCTGAGTCACGAGTGGCCACTTAGTGTCCCGGGTCCCCCCTCTGTCCAGTTTCTCCACTGGGGCTTCCTTGGAGTATCCACCACATCTTGGCCATGAGGTGGACTCCCAGTGGCCACAGCCGACCCCCGAGGATCCAGGACCCCAACCCGGGCGCTCAGGTTCCAGAGCCTGGCCTCTTACGTAGTTTTCGCCAGTGTATCGTCCCAATATCCTTTATGACGGAGGCATAGTTGGCAGGGCCGGTGTGTGCCGTGCGTGGGTCCCCTGGGAGACGCGTGGTGCCCCCATGACTCTTGCCTGCAGAGTGACAGCCATCTCCCAGGGCTGCTGTTGCAAATGCCACGCACTTGGTGGCTTCAGGTGTGCGCATGCGTCGTCTTACAACCCCATGTCAGCCTCACTGGGGCAGAGAAGACACACCCGGGCCTCTGGGAGGCGGGGGTCCTGTCTGTGCCTGGCCCCCCAAGGTAACAATAGCAGAGGTCCCCTCCATCCGTCACCCCCCACCTGTGGGTCTAGTTTCATTTGCCCAGGGCTAACCAAGGTCTAAGAACGAGAGCACACAGTTTTCATTGTCACTGTCCATCTTGGACTGCACCACACACACACACGCACCACCTTCAGCGTGGTCTGTGGGGTTCTGTGCCGTCCGCAGTTTGCAGCGTCCACTGGGGTCTCGGGTAAGGGGCTTACAGGGGGACGGCTTCACCTGCAGACCCGTGTTCGTGAGGATGAATTGTACGTCCCCTCCTTAGAGAGACCGGGGGGCGGGGTGAGACTGAACCCACGGCACCAATGCCCAGATGAGGATCCAGCTGCTGACCCCCCACCCAGTGCCCACCCCACCCCTCCCCTCAGCAGGCCCCATCAGCTGATTAATGAGGCTCACTCGCCCGCTCTCTGTCTCCCCCCACCCAGGACTGTGACCAGATCCACGTTGACGACGTCTCCTCAGATGACAATGGCCAAGATTTAAGGTGGGAATTTGGGGAGGCGAAAGCTCACCTTTCAGCAGACGGTGAGGGGGTGCGGGCTCTCAGGACCAGCTGTGCCCCCGCCCCACAGCCCCTTCCACATCCCCTCTGCTCCACTTGTCTCTCTGTGTGTCTGTACTTTTCTGCTTACTGAAGTCATAGGTGCACAGGTAAAACTTCACACCACCCTCGGCCTTGCCTCCCAAGGTCACTGCCAGTGAGAGTCTGGTGTGTGTGCTTCAGGGCTTTGACTGTATTCGTTAGCATGCACACATCCTAATATAAAAATCCATCCGGTTGGTGCCCAAAAACATTTCTTGAGGCAGGCATTGTGGTGCAGCAGGTTATGCCACCACCTGGGATGCTAGCATCCTCTGTGAGTCCCAGTCCCAGCTGCTCCACTTCTGATCCAGCTCCCTGCGAATGCACCTGGGAAAGCAGCAGAAGACGGCCCAAGTGCTTGGGCCCCTGCACCCACATGGGAGACCTGGATGGAGTTCCAGGCTCCTGGCTTCAGCCTGGCTCAGCCCTGGCCGTTGCAGCCATTTGATGAGTCAACTAGTGGACAGAAGATTCTCTCTCTCTCTCCCTCTCTCCCTCTCTCCCTCCCTCCCTCCCTCTCTCCCTCTCTCCCTCCCTCTCTCCCTCCCTCCCTGCCTCTCCCCCCCACCCCTCCTCCTCTGTCTCCCCCTCACCCTCTTCTGTGTTGTCCCTCTCTCTGTGTAACTCTGCCTCTCAAATAAATAAGCCAATCTTTAAGAAACACTTCTTGCACAGGTAAGAAAGTGGCATGTCTGGTTTCTAGGGAAAACTCACCAAGAACATGGGTTTCAGAAACCAGGTAACCACTCACAAGGAACGAATGGGGCTGGGATGTTCCAGGCCGGCCCTGGGGAAACATTATAAAAACAGAGCCGTGGGGAATCTGTGCTTGTCCAGAATTATCACAGCTCAGCACCTCTCCGCCCATCAAAAGCATTATCAGAAGGAGTGATGTTTCGGTTGCGGCGCCAGCCATGGTAACCTCGCTCGGTTCTCGCCTGCACGCTGCGTCTCCCAGCCCACGCCACGGACAGAAGCTGAGCTCCTGGGACTGCGCTCCGTGGCCTGCGGGGGCTGAGCAGGAAGACGCTACGGAGCTGCGAGCAGCATTCGGAAAAGCCGGCTGCCCCGGGGATGGCAAGGAGCAAGGCTCCAGCGCCAGCCGCCCCCTCTCCATCTGCGGATCCCGGTGAACCGGGGCCTTCGCCTTCTGCAGCCGGGAGTGACCAGCGTTCGGTTTTCATGAGTCCCCCGGCACTAGCTGGCAGGCCCTCTCCTGCCGCAGCCTGAGAACCGTTCTTCCCCTAGAAACCAAATTCCCCACACACTCAGGCTAGAAGCATTTATTGAGTTCCTACTGTATGCTAGGCACCAGGCAACAAATGTACCCCTTTTTTTAAAAAGATTTTATTTATTTGAAAGAGTGACAGGAAGAGAGAAGTCTTCCATCCCCTGGTTCACTCCCCAGATGGCCACAACAGCCAAGGCCTGGCCAGGCTCAAACACAGAACTCCATCCAGGTCTCCCACATGGGTGCAGGGCCCAACCACTAGGGCCATCACCCGCTGCTTTCCCAGGTTCACGCATCAGCAGGGAGCTGGATGGGAAGAGGAGCAGCCAGGAAGCAGGAAGTAGGAAGCAGCCCTGGGTTAGCCCTTCTGTGCCACGCCGTGTTCTGAGTGCATCACATGGGTGAACTCTCTGCTTCTTCAAGTGACCCCAGGAGGCAGGTGCTCGGAGCGTCTTCCTCATTCCACAGCCGGGACGCAGAAGGCACGGGGAGAGTAAGCCACCTGCCCGAGCTCACACAGCTGGGAGTCAAACCCGGGCCGCCTGGCTCCAGGGCCCACTCCCTGCCGTCCAGGAGGGGCCTCTGTGTCTCGACACAACACCCAGGACCCTCATCAGGACATTATCATGGTTTGCAGTCAGCAGTCGCCTTTTAAAGAATTGGTCTGGGGCAGGCGTTCGGGGCAGTAGTCATGACACCAGTTGGGACTCTGTATCCCATTTCCGAGTGCCCGGGTTCGAACCCCAGCTCCACTCCCAATGCCAGCTTCCTGCTGAGGTGCACCCTGGGAGGCAGCAGGTGGTGTAGAACAAGTACCTGGGGCCCTGCCACCCTCACGGGAGAGCTGGATTGAGTCCCTGGCTCCTCGCTTCGGCCTGGCCCAGCCCAGCCCCGGCAGATAGAAGATCTCTGTCTGTCTGCCTTTAAAATGAATTGTTTATTTTAATAAAATAAGAGTTAAGGGTGGGCGCTGTGGCACAGCACATTAGGCTGCTACTTGGGATGCCCGCATCGCGTAAGAGCATTGATCCAAGTCCTGGCCACTCTGCTTCTGATCCAGCTTCCGGCTACTGCGCCCTGGGAGATGCATGGGTCAAGGGCATGGGCCCGTGTGTGTGCATGTGTGTGTGTGTGTGTGTGTGTGCATGTGTGTGTGTGTGCATGTGTGTGTGTGTGCATGTGTGTGTGTGTGTGCATGTGTGTGTGTGTGCATGTGTGTTTGTGTGCAGTAAACCTGCTGGCATTTCTGGCAGCACAAGGAGCTGTCTGCGACACAGGCTGTCGGAACACTCACAGCCTTGTCTATGGCTCATGTGAAGATTTTGAGCAATCCCGTAAGGAGCAGAGAAGGGGACCACTCTCTCCCCTGCTCCCGCCACCTCCAGCCAAGTGCCCCTGCCTGTGACGCCCCCACTTCCAGTCCTCGGGCGCTCCCCTCACGCAAGCATCGCTGAGCGGTGACACAGGTGGCCACGTTGCCTCCCACTCACCTCACACACCCCGCGGCTCCCTCCCACTCCCCACACATCCGCCTGGGTCTGGTTCCCCTGGAAGATGATTCCATGAGTGGGAGATTTAGAAAAGGGCAGAAAGGCGCTCGGGCTGCATCCAGGGTGCTTGATGATGTGAGTGTGTGTGTCTCACAGGCACATACATACACATACACACTCAGTTGCACCTGCTTGCACACAGACTCATACGTGTGCACTCCCTGTACAGCAGGCCTCGTGGTTCAGCATGGGCAGGGATTCCGCAGTGTCTAAGGCGTGGCCTCTGCAGCCTGTCATGTTTCAGCCTGCGCCAGCCCCAGCTACCGCTGCCATTTGGAGAGTGAACCAGTGAATGGGAGATCGGGTGTGTTGCGTGTGCCTCTCAGATAAAATGAATTAAGAATAGGGGATTTCTGTGGGAGCTATAGCGTTGCTCAAAGAATGGAAGCGGGAGCAGCCTCGGTGGGGACGCGAGCCGGGGCCCGGGCGCCAGCGGAACTCCCTGACCAATCCCTCCACTGCCGGGCGAGTCGACTCCGCCGCCTCTGGGGGATTCCTTCGGGCTGCACATTTGACAGAGAGGAAGAGGGCGTCCCCCGCATGGCCACCGCACTCAAGGGCAGAGACAGCTCCCTGAAAGAAATCGGAGTGGCCACCAGGGTACTTCCAAAGTTCGTGGAAAAATGGAAGCAAAAGACAAGTTTATTTTGGTTCTGTGCATACAAAGGCTCTTTAAAACGTTCATTAAAAATGCATATTATGCAGGGCCAGCACTGCGGCATAGCAGGTGAAGCTGCTCCCTGAAGCGCCAGCATCCCCTATGGGCACCGGTTCGAGTCCCGGCTGCTCCACTTCAGATCCAGCTCTCTGCTCTGGCCTGGGAAAGCAGTAGAAGATGGCCCAAGTCCTTGGGTCCCTGTACCCACGTGGGAGACCCAGAAGATCCTGGCTTCGTATCAGCGCAGCTCTGGCCATTGCAGCCAACTGGAGAGTGAACCAGCAGATGGAAAACTCACTCTCTCTCTCTCTCTCTCTCTCTCTGCCTCTCCCTGCCTCTCCCTCTTTCTGTGTAACTCTTTCAAATAAATAAATCTTTTTAAAAATGCAAATTATGAAAATAAATTATGCATGGATTTCTTTTAAAGAAAAAATTCTTTTTTAAGATTTATTTATTTAAAAGTCAGAATTACAGAGAGAGAGGAGAGAGAAAGAGGTGTCTTCCATCCACTGGTTCACTCCCCAGATGGCCTCAATGGCTGGAACTACACCAATCCGAAGCCAGGAGCCAAGAGCTTCTTCCAGGTCTCCCACGTGGGCACAGGGGCCCAAGGACTTGGGCCATCTTCCACTGCTTTCACAGGCCATAGCAGAGAGCTGGATTGGAAGTGGAGCAGCTGGGACTAGAACCAGCACCCATATGGGATGCCGGCACTGCAGGCCAGGGTGTTAACACACTGCACCACAGCACCAGCCCCCATGCACGGATTTCAAAAAAGTTTTTTTAAGATTTGTTTATTTAAGCCGGCGCCGCGGCTCACTAGGCTAATCCTCCGCCTAGCGGCGCCGGCACACCGGGTTCTAGTCCCGGTCGGGGCGTCGGATTCTGTCCCGGTTGCCCCTCTTCCAGGCCAGCCCTCTGCTGTGGCCAGGGAGTGCAGTGGAGGATGGCCCAGGTGCTTGGGCCCTGCACCCCATGGGAGACCAGGAAAAGCACCTGGCTCCTGGCTCCTGCCATCGGATCAGCGCGGTGCGCCGGCCGCAGCGCGCCGGCCGCGGCGGCCATTGGAGGGTGAACCAACGGCAAAGGAAGACCTTTCTCTCTGTCTCTCTCTCTCACTGTCCACTCTGCCTGTCAAAAAAAAAAATTAAAAAAAAAAAGATTTGTTTATTTAAAAGTCAAATTTATAGACACAGAGAGAGGCAGAGATCTTCCATCCACTGGTTCACGCCTCAAATTTGCAATGGTCAGGGTTAGGCCAGGCCAGAGCCAGGGGCTTCATTCAGGTCTCCCACGTGGATCCAGGGGTCCAAGCCCTTGGGCCGTCTTCTGCTTTCCCAGGTGCATCAGCAGGGAGCTGGATTGGAAGCGGAGCAGCTGGGCCGTGGAACTGGTGCCATATGGGATGCCAGTATCGTAGGCAGCAGCTTAACCTGCTGTGCCACAATGCCAGCCCCGGATTCCAAAAAATTTTTGCGATGAAATAAACTTTGAATTCCATTCTCTGTGAGCCTTTTGAAGCCCGCTCCTATTTGATGCAAAAAGAAAGGGGAACACCTGCCAATCAGGCAAGAGCACAGGCCACCGCCCTTCTGTGGGCAGCTGGTAAAAGCCCCGGCCCGCTCCTCCCCAAGGGCCTCACCCATGGGTGCCACGGGCCCCGGCGCCCCACGGTAACGCTGTCCTCCTCCCGGCCTCTCCCCAGCACCTACAACTTCTCCACCGATGGCTTCCACAGCTCGGCCCCAGGAGCCAACCTGTGCCTGGGCTCGGGCGTGCACGGCGGCGTGGACTGGATGAGGAAGCTGGCCTTCCGCTACCGGCGGGTGAAGGAGATGTACAACACCTACAAGGACAACGTGGGCGGTGAGTGGGAGCCGCCCCGTGTGTGCGCGTGCGTGTGTGCAGGGAGTCTTGCGGGGTGGACGCGGCAGCGGTGAGCAGGTGCCGCCCGCCCAGTGTGTGCGCATGCGCAGGGAGTCCTGCGGGGTGGGTGCAGCAGCGGTGAGTGGGAGCCGCCCCGTGTGTGCGCGTGCGCATGTGCAGGGTGGACAAGGCAGCGGTGAGTGGGCACCACCCAGTGGGTGCGCATGCGCGGAGAGTCCTGCCGGGTGGACATGGCAGCGGTGAGCAGGTGCCGCCCAGTGTATGCGCATGCGCGGGGGAGTCCTGCAGTGTGGAGGCCGAGAGAGGCCAGTTCATGTCCTGTGAGCCCCTGCGTGGCTCAGAACCTCAGGCCTCACCGCGATGACAGACTCAGCTGTGAGGAGGCAGCAGCGCCTGGACCCCTGCTTCTCACACCGGCTCCAGCTGGAACCCCCGAGCAGGTTCTGTTCCCGATTTTCTTGGTCTGGCTGCAACCTGGACATCTGTACTCCCGGAGGCCCTGGGTGATGCTAACATGGAGGCCACGTGAGGACGCCGGTGTGAGTGGGTTCCAGGCCCGGCTCCACTCCCACTCCCCTTCCTGCTCACAGGCACCCTGGGAGGCAGCAGGGGGTGGCTCAGTCGGGCCCCCGCCGCCCACATGGGAGACCCGGATGGAGCTCCAGGCTTCTGGCTTCAGCCTCGCGCAGGCCTGGCCATTGTGGCTTTTTACAGAGAGAACAGGTGATGGAAGATGTTGATCCCTCGTGCTCACTCTGCCTTTTGAATAAACTGGTTTTAAGATTTAGTTATTTGAAAGGTGGAGTTACAGAGGTAGAGACAGAGAGAGGTCTTCCATCTGCTGGTTCGCTCCCTAAATGGCGGCAATGGCCGGACGAGGCCAGGAGCCAAGAGCGTCCTCTGAGTCTCCCACGTGGGCAGCAGGGACCCAATCACCACTGCGCCCCAGGGTGTGCGTCAGCAGGAAGCAGGAGCCGGGAGCAGGAGCCGGGACTGGGACCAGGCGCTGGGCTGCGGGCTGCGGGCGTCCCAGGCAGGGTCCCGACCCCGGGGCCCCGCGCCCGCCCCAGAGCTCTCCAATATGACACCGACTGTTTCCTCTGTCCGCAGGCTTGATAGGCGCGCCCAAGAGAGAGACGTGGCTGCGTCTGAGAGCCGAGCTGGAAGCGCTGACGGACCTCTGGCTGACCCACTCCCTCCAGGCCCTCACCCTCATCCAGTCCCGGTGGGTGGCAGCCCCCGCTTTCCCCTGGGCCACGGACCCCTCTCCGCAGACGCGGGGGTATTAGACACCCCAGGTTCCCACCTGCACCCTCTCCAGACGCCCGAGAAGGCTCGGGGGAGACTCGGCCTCCAGGGTGCCGCGGCTTCCTGGGTTCTCCCAAAAGATCAGAACTGGCGCATGCTCGCCGGTCAGCCGCAGTCCCCACCTCTCCCCACGGTCCTCCACTGAAGCATGTGGCCCTTGCAGCAGGCGCTGGCCTTGTAGATAAATGTAACACCCACGTCGCCTTTCGGCGTCAGGCGGCTCCGGGCCCAGAGGAGACACGCTGGAGAATCCTCAGCCCTGCCCTCCCCGGGGATGCCGCAGCCAGAGCCCGCAGACCCCACGGGCTCCTGCAGAGGCCCGGCCTGGGTGCCTCCGAGTTCTGACCGCTGCCGCCTCCGTCCTCAGGCCCAACTGTGTCAATGTGCTGGTCACCACCACGCAGCTCATCCCGGCGCTGGCCAAGGTCCTGCTGTACGGGCTGGGCTCCGTGTTTCCCATCGAGAACATCTACAGTGCAACCAAGACAGGTAGGGAGAAGCTGGCCCTCTGGGGACGCGAGCAGGAGGTGGTGAGCTGGCAGTCCTGGGAGATGTCCCCAAGGAAGTTTCCAGAACTTTCCACCAGTGTGCCTCAGAACCCTAAACAGCTCTCCCAGTCCCTTCAGCAGGGAAAAGAACTAGAGATTAGCAATGTTACTTATTTATCATCAGATGCCCTCTTTGTAATTTGAAAGGCAAAGAGTTGCTATACTTTGGTTCATACCTCAGACACCCACAGTGGCCAGGGCTGTGGCCAAAGCAGGAGCTGGGAACTTCAAGCTGGGTCTCCCGGGTGAGTGGCAGGGGCCCAAGTACTTGAGCCATCCCCTGCTGCCTCCCAGGGTGTGCACGAGCAGGTAGACTGGAATTGGAAGAGCCGGGACTTGAACCCAGGTACTTTGATCCAGGATGTGGGTGTCCTAAGCAGCGTACTAACTGCTGTGCTGAACGCCTGCCCCCGGCATCGGAAGGCAAGGAATTCCGGTTTGCCTTGGAGAAGGGATGGACTTATTCTTAGATCACCTGAAAATGTGTAATACAAAAATAACTTAAAAAAAAAAAAACCCACATAGTGTTAAGATTTATTTATTTATTTGAAAGGCAAAGAGAGAGAGAGAGGATCTTCCATTGGTTCACTCCCCAGATTGCTGCAACGGCCGGAGCTGCACCCATCTGAAGCCATGCCAGGAGCTTCTTCCGGGTCTCCCATGTGGGTGCAGGGGCCCAAGCACTTGGGCCATCTTCTGCTTTCCCAGGCCATAGCAGAGAGCTGGATCAGAAGTGGAGCAGCCAGGATTCGAACCGGTGCCCATATAGGATGCTGGCACTGCAGGCCAGAGCTTTAACCTGCTATGTTTTTAATTTGAAATTGTTACTCTGCCCCTCCCCCCCCCTCCCCGCTTTTTGAATGGAGCCAAAAATCAACTAGTACTCTGGAAACATTTTCTTAGAGCAACTAAAGTTCTCGGTCTCAGCATAACAGAAAGTGCCTTGCCAGGGCCTGCCTCCCACATGGAAACAGGTTCAAGTCCCGGCTGCTCCACTTCTGATCCGGCTCCCTGCTCATGCACCATGGGGAGGCAGCAGAAGATGGCCCAGGTCCTTGGGCCCCTGCACCCACATGGGAGACCCAGATGGAGCTCCTGGCTCCTGGCTTTGGCCTGGGCTGGTCTTGGTCTTGCAAGAGCGAACCAGCGGATGGAAGACCTCACGCTTTCAAACAAATAAATCTTAAACAAGTGCATTTCGATTTGAGAGGGCAAATCAGGCCCCGATGGTGGTTAGAGATTTTTTACCAAGTGCCCATGCTTCTCCCTCTAGTCGGGGCCCTTTCTGTAAATAATTGTTTGACTGAGAACGGACCTGCTGGGTGGCCCTGCATCTCCCACGGGGATGGTCGGGGAGGAAGGGCTCAGGACCCCGCCCCAGGAGGGCAGCTGCGCCTGGCTGGCTCGGCCACCCCAGGCCTCGGTGAGCTCCAGCCTCGTCTGCTTCCCTGGGTGCAGGGAAGGAGAGCTGCTTCGAGAGAATCATGCAGAGGTTCGGGAGGAAAGCTGTCTACATCGTCATCGGCGACGGGGTGGAGGAGGAGCAAGGCGCGAAAAAGGTACTTCCTGCGGCCCTCCAGCCGTCCCTGTCTCCCCCCAGCCCCCTAGCCGGCCTGGTGGGCTCCGTGCGAGGTTCGCCCCCGCCTCCCCGCGGCTGGCTGAGCCCTCTCCCTCCTGGCTGCTCTGCTCGCCACTCCAGGCCCGTTTGCAAATCGCAGAAGCATCCTGAGTAATTTCCTTCCGCAAATCCCCGCCGCGCCACGGGCTGCCGCCCCTGGTAGCCCTGGGCTGTTTCTGAGACACCGCCCGGGAGCCCGGGGACCCCGGGCAGGGCGGGCGGCAGGCGCACGTGTGTGTGTTTTATGTTGTCCCCGCTGATCGCATGTTCCAGGAACCCTTCCCAGTTAATAAAGACAGCATTAAGCTAATGAAACAGAAAATCCCGCAGTTGCGAGCTCGGGCCTGTGAGGAGAGGGCAGGGGGGCTCGGGGGGCTGCAGCCCTGCGCTTGGAGAAGAAACAGCTGCCAGAGTCCCGGGCCTGGAGCTGTCAGCAGCGCCCCTGGGGAGGCCTGGGAAGCCCAGAGCTGCATCTGGGGGCCTGCTTTCCCCCTCTGCTCCCTGGCAACAAATCCCAAGGACGTGCAGAACAGTCCAGGGTCGCAGCACATGGAGCCCAGGAGAGCGGAGGTCCCGAGGGCAGCCTGGAAGGCCATGCCCGTTCCCGGAGCCTGAGCGTGCAGACTCCCTGGCCTGTGACACCCCCCCCGCCCCCCATGTTCCTTCTCCAGTCGGAAACAGTGGCTGGGGGAGCGTGGGTCCCAGACTGCAGCCCGCGGCCAAGCACCTACCGTGCGCCATCACTGTCCTCCAGGGATCGGAAGGATTTCAGCTTTTACGCTGAGCGCTTCTCTCGGAAGCATATTTAGCTTTCCGAAAGGAGGATTTAGAAGAAAACAAGTAAGTGATAGTAAGACAGGTGATCCAGAGACGTGGCCAGAGCAGGGCCAGCAGGCATGGGCATCACTGCACTGGCGAGTGGCCACGTGGGTCATGGGGCAGACCTGCCTGCCCGCCCCCTAGAGCCCTGGACCCACCCCACCCCTCCCGTTCTTCCAAGTTCAGATGGGAGAACCCAGGGTTCAGAGCATACCCTTGCTGTCACCTGCACTCCTTTTAGCTCCTCTGTGATGTGCAGGTTGGAGCCAAGAGCCTGGCTTGCACTGCCCTGGGGGGGGGGGGCGGATGTCCGGCAGGACCCTGGGAGATCCTGCCAGTGGAGGTGGGCGAGGTGAGGCAGGACGCAGGCACCCGTGCCCAACAAAACTCAGCCCTCTGGAGCTTCCCACAGTGACCACTAGGGGGCAGGCCTCTCCTGCTTCGGGAGCCCCTGAGCAAGGCAGGGCGGAGGGCGAGGCCAGCCTGGTGTCTGCACCCAGGCTGTGACCCTGACACCATCCTGGCTGCACGCTAACAGCAGCACATTTTGCCCTAAGTCCTCGCCCCTCCATCTGGCACTGTGTGGTCTTGGGCAGATGAGACCCCTCTCTGAGCTGCTTTCCTTGCCGTGGAAAGAGGATGGGGAGCAAGCCTGGAGGCACACACGGTGTGCTGCCAGCAGCCCACAGCTCTGCCACACCCTGCCCAGGGCATGCAAGAGGGCTGCATACATAAACAAATGGTTTGTCATTTCACATAAGAACGGACACAGCCTTGAAGTCCCAGGGCGCCACGCCCAGGAATCCTGACCTGAGGACTGGGGAGAAGCAGGTGGCCGAACAGGGGCGGGAGGCGCTATGCCAGGGGTCTCCGCGGGGCTGCAGGCACTGTGTGGGATGTGGAAGATGCCACCCGGCAGCCGGCACAGCCGTGCGCTTTCTTCCTCTCTCCTGGCGAGCACCTGTACGGGTCCAAGAAGCTGCACCAGCCTCCAGCCTCAGGCTCCTGCTGTCTTCTTAAAAAAAAAAAAAAAGAAAAGAAAAAGAAAAAGAATTTATTTGAAAGGCAGGGAGTGGTCTTCCGGCCGGCGCTATGGCTTACTTGGCTAATCCTCCACCTGCAGCGCCGGCACCCCAGGATCTTGTCCCGGTTGGGGCGCCGGATTCTGTCCCGGTTGCCCCTCTTCCAGTCCAGCTCTCTGCTGTGGCCCGGGAGTGCAGTGGAGGATGGCCCAAGGGCTTGGGTTCCTGCTTCAGATCGGCGCAGCGCCGGCCGTAGCGGCCATTAGGGGAGTAAACCAACGGAAGGAAGACCTTTCTCTCCATTTCTCTCTCACTGTCTATAACTCTGTCTCTGTCTCTCTCACTAACTCTAACTCGGCCTGGCAAAAATAAGAGAGAGAGAGGTCTTTCATCAACTAGTTCACTCCCCAAATGGCCACAACGGCCGGAGCTGAGCTGATCCAGAGCCAGGAGCCAGGAGCTGCTTCTGGGTCTCCCACCCAGGGGGACGGCTAAGGGACAGAGCCCACCCGCCTCTCAACCCCTGAGCACTTGGATCCGTGGGTGGACGACTCACTGGCTCTCGAGGCCCGAGTCCTGGGCCTGCCCACCTGGGCCCTCCCCTCAGCCCTCGCAGCGGGCACTGCATCTCAGCACGAGCTCTGCAGGGACCACCGCGAGAAGGCGTCCGAAGGAGGCCCTTCCCCCCGCCCCCAGGTGGTGCAGCACCGCGCCGGTGCACCCCTAAGGCCACGCTGGCGCCCACGGAGGCTGGTCGGCCCAGCCGTGCAGGGAGCACCCGCCGAGGCTCAAGGTGTGGGAGGAGCGGCTGGGGGGCTGGGGGCCGCGGTAACCGCGTGCCGGTGTCTTCTTGCAGCACAACATGCCCTTCTGGCGGATATCCTGCCACGCCGACCTGGAGGCACTACGGCACGCCCTGGAGCTGGAGTACTTATAGCGGCTCGGCCGCCCAGGCCTCCCGCGAGAGCGCCGAGCCCCCGGGGGAGGACGCGTGCAGAGTCATCTCCGAAGCCGGCGTCCCCACACGCCCAGTACCCGACACTGGCCTTGGAATCGCTGACTTTGGGCAAAGGGCTGGCTCCAAGTCCAGACTTTTCTACCAGTCTCAGAGAACAAAAGCAAGGAATGGCTGATGGGGTGGGGGTGGGGGGCGCGGTGAGGACGAGGGGACAGGTGTTTTTTTTTTTTTTCTTTTTAATTTATGGACTAACCTGCTACTCGGTATTACGCTCTTGTGCCTGTGTTGCTGGTTGCCCTAGTCGTCGGTTCGGTGTTTGTTTTCTGGGCTGGCGTGGGGCTGGGTCACAGCGTAAGCGTCTCTGAGCGTTGCTGAGGGAGGCCATTTGGGGCTGTCGGGAGGACCATTGCTTCTTCTCGTCCTAGGGCAGTGCACCTGCCTATGCCGCCGTCTTAGTTGCTGGGAAGGAAGCGGTCCCTTGGGATGGATAAAAGGCGTTCAATAAAACCACGTTTACATTCTGCGGTGTGGTAGGGAGCGGTTCCTCCAGCCCCACGGAGGCTTCTGAATGTGTTGGTTTTCTCCAGGACGTTTCAAGGCTGAACCTCAGCTCAAACTGGACCAGAGAGCAGAGCTGGCTGCAGGAGCCTTGAGGGATGTCTCACCGGGCACAGCTGGATGCAGGCGCCCAGAGGGCTCTCTCCCGTGGCCAGCATCCTCCGCAGGTGCTTCACTGTTGCGCTACCCATAGCTGCGAGGGTCTGTCGGCGGAACCACAGCGGCAGGCAGAACGCACCTCCGCCACAGTGGTCCTGGCAAAGCCCCAGGATTGTGCCACGTCGGCCGAACCTCAGCCCTGGGCTCCCCATGTTGGATTCCCTCATACACAGAAAGTTAGAGAGGAAAGGTCCCCCAGAGGGAAAAACCCATGAGCTTTGGTGCAGAGTTAGGGGGCCGGGGGTTGGGATGGCAAAGACAAGCGGCTGCTATTCCCGCGATGGGGCTTCGCCTTCCCGTGCGTGGGAGACGAGGTGCAGTGTACGGGGCAGGGGGACACCTTGAGCCCTGTCGCCGCTCATAGAGGAAAGGGTGGGAACTGGCTCCCCCTGATTGGGTGCTAAGCTCTTCCCTCTGCTGTGCTGGTGGAACCCAGGGTCACCAGCTGGCCAAGACCTGCGTCAGTGAAGATGGGAGACGACTCAGCACTCAGTCTCAGAGCTAGAGTTCTGACCATTAGGAAGCCATCACCGAGGGAGGGGTGGGGGGAGATGGCCCCACTAGACTGAGCTCACTGGGGAGTAGGTCCTGCTGGTGTCATGTGTGTGCACAGAATCCCAGATCCTGACCCAAGCAGACACAGATGAGAGAGGAGGGAGGAGGGAGAGACGTAGAACTGGAGTCACTGTCCGGTAACCGGTGAGTGACTCGGTATTTGGACAACGCGTGGGTGGGTGGGTGGATCATCGAGAGGGTGAGTAGGAGGGCTGTTGGTGAGGGGATTGGATGGTTGGGCAACTGGAAGGCGAGTGGACAGTTGGAGGGTTGGAGGGTGAGTGGATAAATGGATGGAGAACTGTTGGAATGACAAGATGGTGACTGGATATTACGTGGTGAAGTGAATGAGTGGGTGTTTTTTTGTCTAAGTGAATGCGTAGTTTATGAAAGTATGGATAGACGATTAGGTGGGCGGATGACACATTAGGAGGTAGTCGTTTGCGGGGCTGGCATTTTGGCATAGCAGGTAAAGCTGCCGCCTGCGACGTCGGCAGCCCACGTGGGTGCCAGTTGTGTCCCAACTGCTCCACTTCTGCACCAGCTCCCTGTGAGTGGCCCGGGAAAAGCAGAAGATGGCCCAGACTTGGGCCCCTGCACCCATGTGGGAGACTTGGATAAAGCTGGCTCCAACCTGGCCCAGTCCTGGTCATTGTACTCACTCTCCCTCAAATAAATATTTTTCTTTACAAAAAAAAAAAAAAAAAAAAAAAAAAAAGCAGTGGTCTGGATGGGTAAACGGCTGGAATGATTGATGGTTGATAATAATGATACGATGATTGGATGTGTGGATTTGAAATGGTTAAATGTTCAGATGCATGGACAGTAAAATGGAAGTGAGATGCTTACCGGGGCGGATGCTTCATTGGAAAAGAATCCCTGGTGTGGCCTGGTGGACCTGGGTCGGTCTCGGGACGCTCTGCCCGCTCGTGTTTCTTGGAGAAAGACCAGCGAGTTACTGGCCGAGCTGCCTTCCAGATGAAGTGGAAGTGACAGATGTGCGCACAGGGCACCCCCTGCCGCCCAGCACCCACTTACAATCTTGATCTGTCCATCTTCCCCTTCACCATCAAGACTGCGATCCAGGAAAATCCTGTTTACAGTCAAATAAAGAGTGAATTACTTATTAAAAGGCATTTTCTTTTGACGGTCTTTCATGAGAAACTAATATGCGTAGAATTCAGCCACAGGAAGGTATTTGGGGTGAAACAGATAGACCTCCCCCTTGACCCTGAACTTAAGCCATCAGAGTGGCCAGCTGCTTTTCTGTCGTGGACACTGAACGCTGAAGACTGGCTCTGACAAGCTCACCGTCCAGTTTCTAAGTTCACATTTTGGATTGAATTCTGGATGAGCTGGAGCTGCTGGGAGGCCAGGCTAGCGTCCTTCTCACCTGTGTCCCTCACTGCCCAGCACAGGTGACGGCACTGAGCGTTGCCCGGGGGATGGGTGTGCATCCGCGATGCTGTGGTCCCGCACTGCCAGTTTCACTGTTTGTCCAGCAGTGTCCGCCCTGCAGAACACTCCGAGAAGGCTCACATACGAAAGCCCTGGGCCTGTCTGAAGTCCGGGCGTGACTCGGGGACTGGCCGAGCTGCCCAGCTGACGGAGCCTACAGGACTCACAGAAGTCCAAGATCAGCCCCTGAGCACGCAGGAGCGTAGTTTTCCAAAGGCTTTAGAGGTCAGACAACTCCCACTGGGATTTTTTTTTTCTCATTGCCAAAGACAGAAATACAGTCAGAGCAGTTGAAACAAACCAGCCCGGAAATTCACTGATTCACTGGCTCATCTGACTCAGACTCAGGGACATGTGACCTCGCACCTGCCCCAAATGCAAAACTCTGTCCTGTCTTTAAAAATCAACTCTATTTGTAACCAGAATTGACATTTGCAGAGTGTAGGCTGTAAACACAGATTTCCATTGACAAAGCATTGCTTAGTTCACCCAAGGACCAGGACCTAGGCAAGAGACCCAGATCAAATGTATTGTACACATTAATACATGTGCTGTGGTTTAAGTGTTTTGAGTTCTGATTTCCTGAGTTACTTGCAGCCAAAAGCATCCCGACTTGTATAATATGTAATATATAGGCCAGCGCTGCGGCTCACTAGGCTAATCCTCCGCCTGCGGCGCCGGCACCCCGGGTTCTAGTCCCGGTCGAGGCGCTGGATTCTGTCCCGATTGCTCCTCTTCCAGTCCAGCTCTCTGCTGTGTCCCAGGAAGGCAGTGGAGGATGGCCCAAGTGCCCAAGTGCTTGGGCCCTGCACCCGCAGGGGAGACCAGGAGGAAGCACCTGGGTCCTGGCTTCGGATCAGCGCAGCGCGCCAGCCATAGCGGCCATCTGGGGAGTGAACCAACGGAAGGAAGAAGACCTTTCTCGATGTCTCTCTAACTCTGCCTGTCAAAAAATATATATATCAGTCTTATGTCCCACACAGGCTCTGGTTTCTGCTAAGGAACCCAGTGCAGACCTCCCTGTGACCACCAACTGTAGCAAAGGCGCGTCTTCGCCAGCAGCAAGCGGAGCATCGGAATGGCAGTGTCCCAGGCACGGCAGGGCAAGCTGAAGGAGACACAGTCTTCGGAAATAAGAGATCAGTCAGTTTATAAAAAACATTTTTATAAAAAAGCAAAGGCCAAAGCCAAGTTACAGGGCAGGCATTTGACCTGGAAGGCGAGCCACCAGGTAGGGTGCCCATGTCCCACATCAACAGGAATGCGAGTCCTAACTCCAGCTTCTGGCTAATGCACACCTACGAGGCACGTGATGGCTCAGTGGTCAAGTGCCTGCCACCCACACGGGAGATCTGGACTGAGTTCCAGGCCCTGACCCAGCCCTGCGCGTTGCAGGCATTTGGAGGGTGAACCAGCAGGTGGGAGATCTCTCCGTCACACCCTACCTTTCAAATGAGTTAACAAAGATGGAAAAGCCAGTAAAAAGGATATCGATTTAGAAAGGTCTCCAGTTACCGCTCCGTGCAAGACAACAATGACTGTGGCCGTTACTTGTGTGAAAATGAAGACTGGGGAGCGCCCGGATGGCTGAACAAGGTAGAGCCAACCTCGGCGGCTCTGCCCTAGGAGAGCAAGAAAAGGGACGCGTGGCCAGGGGTCTCACTGCTGGACGTTCTCAACAAAGACGTGGAAACACAACAAAGACCGGGGGACAGAAGGAAGGAAGCCAGAGAGGCTGCTGCAGAGAGGTGCCCAGCGCAGCCAGCCGCGAGCCGCCACGAGGTGCACCCCGATGCTCACAGGGAATCCAGTCACCCCTGCCTTGCGCTTCCTCCTGGGGAGCCGACTGGGGTCTGAGCACAGAGCAGAGAAGCTGTGCTGCTTCCCCTCTCCCCTCCCCACTCCTGCAGAGTGCAGTCCCTGGCAGAGTCAGGGCAGCGTGTGGGGCCAAGGACAAAGCCCCTGCATCCTGCATCAGCCCCGGAGCTGTGCCCATGCGGAGGGATTCGCCTTGGCTTCTGGGGACAAACACCAGAAGCGGTCCATGGAAAAAAAAAATCCCACCCTGGGAGATCTGGCTAATGACCCCACCGTACCCTGCAACACCAGGGCTGTAATGATTCCTTCAATTTCTCAATGCCACTGGGATCTACCTGCAGTCCACCACTGTGGACTCACACCCCCTGCAGCAAAGTCTCCTGTACACCTGTAGGAGCCCTGTAGGACTGAAACAGGCCCAGTTCCCATCCCCCAGGCCCACAGCACCAGCTGGACCCTCCCAGCAGGACCTGTGCATCACAGTCCTAGAGACACAGCGGCTGGTCCACAAGCCCCAGCACTACGCAGGCACCTGTGGGGTGTGGGCTGCCACCTTTGACTTCCTCCGCACCAAGAATAAGACCCGGGGCCATCGCTGGGGCATAGCAGGTGAAGCCACTGCCTGCGACGCCAGCATCCCATATGGGTGCTGGTTCGTGTCCCTGCCACTCCACTTCCAATCCAGCTCCCTGCTAATGGCCTGGGAAAAGCAGCAGGAGATGACCCAAGTCCCTGGGCCCCTGTCACTCATGTGGGGGACTTGGATGAAGTTCCAGGCTCCTGACTTTGGTCGGGCTCAGCCCTGGCCATTGCAGCCATCTGGGGAATAAACCAGCAGATAGAAGACCTCTCTTTCTCTCCCTCTCTCTTTCTCTAACTCTTTCAAATAAACAAACATCTTTTTAAAGGAAAAAAGAACAAGGCCCTGGCTATCACCTGTGCCTGGGATACTGACACTGAACTCCCCGTGCACAGAAGATTCACAGCCTGGGAAATCCTTACTCATCTCAAAGCCACACGTCTATCCCTGTGAACTGCAGCAGACCAGACCACTGTGTCGCTGACAGATGCACTTGACACTAAATAAGGCCAAAGAAACCAGAGGCTGCACTCCTGGGCTGGCCTAGAACCAAAGCCAAGGCAACAAGCCAAGTGATACAATGCATCCCCCTAAGCCATGAACTCTTCTAATCAAGCCTACTCCATAAAGAAGGGACAATTGCCCGGATGCACAGATGTCGACACAGGGCCAACAGGAGACGTGGAGGAGGTAGCGTGACAGCTCCAAAAGAGCACAGTGATCCCCAGCACTGGGTCCTGCACTGAAGCAAAGCTACGACATGACAGGGACAGAGCTCAAAACAACGATTTTTATTTTATTTATTTGAGAGAGTTAGAGAGAGAGAGAGAGAGAGAGATCTTCGATCTGCTGGTTCACTCCCCAGTTGGCCACAATGGCTGGAGCTGCACTGATCTGAAGCCAGGAGCTTCTTCTGGTTCCCCTACATGGGTGCAGGAGCCCAAGGACTTGGGCCATCTTCTACTGCTTTCTCAGGCCACAGCAGAGAGCTGGATCGGAAGAGGAGCAGCTGAGACTTGAACCAGCGCCCATATGGGATGCCGGCACTTCAGACCATGGCTTTAACCCTCTGCGCCACAGCACCGGCCCCTCAAAATAACGCTTGTAAGGAAGCGGCGAGATGCAGAACACAGACAGATCAATTAAAGAAATGAGGAGATCAATGGGCGATATGAATGAAAATATTACTAAGGAGATAGAACTCATTAAGAACCACCAAATAGAAATTTTAGAGATGAAATCATGAATGGGTGAAATTTAAAAAAAATACAATTGAGAGCTTTAACAGCAGAACAGGCCAAGTGGAGGAAAGCATTTGACTTCGAGGACAAGACTTTTGACAGACAAAAATAAAGAGAATAATTCAAAAGAATGAAGAAAGTCTACATGAAATATGGGATACCATTAAATGACCAAATATTTGTATTATAGGTATTCCTGAAGGAGAAGAACCTGCTAAATGAAATAGTTGAAAATTTCCCAGGTCTTGGAAACAAACAAAAAAAGGAACATCCAATTATGATAAGTTCAAAGAAACAAAAAATGGAGCCATTGCTGTGGCATAGTGGATAAATCCTCTGCCTGCAGTGCCGTCATCCCATATGGGCGCTGGTTTGAGACCCGGCTGCTCCACTTTCAATCCAGCTCTCTGCTCTGGCCTGGGAAAGCAAAAGATGGCCCAAGTCCTTGGGCCCCTGTACCCACATGGGAGACCCGGAAGAGGCCCCAGGCAGCTCTGGCTGTTGCAGCCTTTTGGGGAGTGAACCAGCAGATGGAAAATCTCTCTCTGCCTCTCCTTCTCTCTCTGTGTAACTCTGACTTTCAAATAAATAACCTTTAAAAAAAAACATTCTTGAAAGCATATTGTAGTCACATCATCAAAAGTTAAGGACAGGCCGGCGCCGCGGCTCACTAGGCTAATCCTCCGCCTAGCAGCGCCGGCACACCGGGTTCTAGTCCCAGTTGGGGTGCCGGATTCTGTCCCGGTTGCCCCTCTTCCAGGCCAGCTCTCTGCTGTGGCCCGGGAGTGCAGTGGAGGATGGCCCAGGTGCTTGGGCCCTGCACCCCATGGGAGACCAGGAAAAGCACCTGGCTCCTGGCTCCTGCCATCGGATCAGCGCGGTGCGCCAGCCGCAGCGCGCCGGCTGCGGCGGCCATTGGAGGGTGAACCAACGGCAAAGGAAGACCTTTCTCTCTGTCTCTCTGTCTCTCACTGTCCACTCTGCCTGTCAAAAAAATAAATAAATAAATAAAAAATAAAAAAAATAAAAAGTTAAGGACAAGGAGAGAATCCTAAAAACAGCAGGAGAAAAGTGCCAAGTCACATATAAGGGAAAACCAATTAGATTAATATCAGACTCTCAGTAGAAACCCTACAGGCCAGAAGACAGTGGGATGACATATTCAAGGTCTTCGGAGAAAAAAGCTTCTAAGAACGTTATATCCAGCAAAGCTCTCCTTTATTTTTTTAATTTATTTTATTTATTTGAAAGAGAAGTAGAGAGAGAGGTAGAGACACAGAGGGAGGTCTTCCATCTGCTGGTTCACTCCCCAAATGGCTGCAATGGCTGAAGCTGCACTGATCTGAAGCCAAGAGCTTCTTCTGGGTCTCCCACGTGGGTGCAGGGGCCCAAGGACTTGGGCCATCCTTCACTGCTTTCCCAGGCCACAGCAGGGAGATGGATTGGAAGAGGAGCAGCCAGGACTAGAACCGGTACCCATATGGGATGCTGGTGCTTCAGGCCAGGGCTTTAACCTGCTGTGCCACAGTGCTGGCCCCTAAAGCTATCCTTTAACATGAAGGAGAAATAAGGTATTGTCCAGATAAGCAAAACCAGAGAACTCACCGCCACCAGACCAGCCTTACAGGAAATTCTGCAGCACTTCCTGCATTAGAAGTAAACAGGAAAACACACGGCACCACCAGATTCACTAACAGAGCAGCCAGATCCAGTATCCACCCGACAAAATGACAGGTCGCGGTCCTTGTCTATCAGTACTAACTTTGAATGTAGAGGGATTAAGTTCTGCAGCCAAAAGACATAGGTTGGCTGAATGGAAATAAAACCAAGACCCCACTACATGCTGCCTACAAGAAACTCACTTCATAAAGGTACACACAGACTTACAGTAAAGGGCTGGGAAAAAGGCAACCAGGCACGTGGAAACCAAAGACGAGCAGGAGTAGCTATCCCCATATCAGATATACAGACTTCTTCTTTTTTAATTTATTTTTTGACAGGCAGAGTTAGAGAAAAAGGTCTTCCTTCCGTTGGTTCACCCCCCAAATGGCTGCTACGGCCGCTACACCAATCTGAAGCCAGGAGCCAGGTGCCTCCTCCCGGTCTCCCATGTGGGTGCAGGGCCCAAGGACTTGGGCCATCCTCCACTGCACTCCCGGGCCACAGTAGAGAGCTGGACTGGAAGAGGAGCAACTGAGACAGAATCCGGTGCCCCAGCCAGGACTAGAACCCAGGGAGCCAGTGCCGCAGGCAGAGGATTAGCCTAGTGAGCCGCAGCACCAGCAGATATACAGACTTTAAATCCAAAATTGCAAAAAGATAAAAAAGGACATTATATTTTGATAAACGGTTCAATTCATCAAAAGACGTAGCAATCATAAATACATATGCACCCAACGCAGGACCACCCAGACATATGCAGCAAACACTGTCAGACCTAAATGGAGAGATGGACTCCAATACAGTAACCGTGGGGGACTTGGACTTTCTGATCCGGCTAAAAAGCCCATGAGAGCATCTCAGGCGTGGAAATCCAAGACACTGTGGCAAAAAATGACCCACATGAAGGATCTCTCTGAGTGAGACCCCAGTGGAAAGAAGGGGCCATCAAAGAAGGAGGTACCTTTCTCTGAAGGGAGGAGAGAACTTCCACTTTGCTCATGGCCCTGTCTAAATAACAACAGAGTTGGTGGACTCAAAAGGCTTCCATAGCCTTGGCAGCTCAGGACAAGAGCCTCGGGTGATTACTGACGTCATCAATAAGTATGTCAGTTGTTAAATCAACAACAGGAGTCACTGTGCACTTACTCCCCATGTAGGACCTCTGTCCTTAATGTGTTGTACTATGAGAATTAACAGTAAAACTTGTCTTCAATCGCTTCTCGGCCTTTTGGCTAAGATCAAGTGTAGTATCTGTTCTTATCAGTTTAATATCTGATACGTCCTCTATCCGAGGACAACATATTAAATGGATTTTTGGAGCCGGGAGTTGGAATAGGAGCTTGCTCCGTCCACTCCTCGCATCGACCCGGTATTGCAGTACCTCCGGGCACGGTGCAAAAAAAAAAAAAAAAAAAAAACTTGTCTTCAAACAGTACTTTATACTTTGTGTGTCTGTGTGGGTGCAAACTGTTGAAATCTTTACTTAGTATAGAGTTGGTCTTCTGTATATAAAGATAAGTAAAAATGAATCTTAATGAAGAATGGATAGGAGAAGGAGTGGGGGAGGGAGGGTGGGTATGGGGGGGGAAGAACCACTATTCCTAAAGATGTACCTATGAAATTTGTATTCACTAAATAAAAGCTTTTTTAAAAAATTGAAAGAATAGCAGTGGGGGACTCCAACACCCCACTCTCACCAACAGCTCATCCAGACAGGACAGTCCATGGGGTAGCTCAGAGCTGAAGCTCACTGTCCAGCAAAGGGACCCAGCAGACATGTACGGGACATGCAGGACATCTCACCCAACAGCTTCAGGATACACGTTCTTCTCATCAGCACGTGGCTCATTTCCTAGGAGAGACCACATATCAGACCACAAGTCAAGTCTCAGCAGGCTGAGGAAGGTTGAAATCATAGCCATATGTCTTCTCAGACCATAAAGGAATAAGACTAGAAATCAGCAAGAACAACAGAACGCTCGCAAATACTTGGAAATTAAACAGCATGCTACTGAGCGACTAGCGGGTCATTGAAGAAATTAAAAAGGAAGTCAAGAACTGAATTAAAGTAAATGAAAGTGAAAACACAGTGCATCAAACCTGTGGGGGGCAGCAAAGCAGTATTGAGAGGGAAGCTTAAAAAAATGAAGGGAAGCTTATAGCATCAAGTGCTTATATTATCAGGAGAAATGTCTCAAAGATCTAATGATGCAGCTCAAAGACTTAGAAAAACAAGAACAAACCAAACCTAAAATCAGGAGGCATGAAATAATAAGGATCAGAGCAGAAACAAATGAAACGGAAACTAAATAAGTAAGTCAGTAAATAAACAGAGGGCTGGCACTGTGGTGCACTGGGTTAAAGCACTGGCCTGCACCACCAGTGTCCCATATGGGTGTCCATTTGCGTCCCAAATACTCCCCTTCCGATCCAGCTCCCTGATAGTGCACCTGGGAAAAGCACCAGAACATGGCCCAAATCCTCGGGCCCCTGCACCCATGTGGGAGACCTGGAAGAAGCTCCTGGCTCCTGGTTCCAGATTGGCTCAGTTCCAGCCACTGCAGCCATCTGGGGAGTGAACCAGCAGATGAAGACCTCTCTCTCTCTCTTAATTCTTTCAAATAAATAAATCTTTCAAAAATAAATAGAGGGCTGGCGCCGCGGCTCACTAGGCTAATCCTCCGCCTTGCGGCGCCAGCACACCGGGTTCTAGTCCCGGTCAGGGCACCGGATTCTGTCCCGGTTGCCCCTCTTCCAGGCCAGCTCTCTGCTGTGGCCCGGGAGTGCAGTGGAGGATGGCTCAAGTGCTTGGGCCCTGCACCCGCATGGGAGACCAGGAGAAGCACCTGGCTCCTGCCTTCAGATCAGCGCAGTGCGCCGGCCGCAGCATGCTGGCCACGGCGGCCATTGGAGGGTGAACCAACGGCAAAAGGAAGACCTTTCTCTCTGTCTCTCTCTCTCACTGTCCACTCTGCCTGTCAAAAATAAAAAAAAAAAATTAAAAAAAAATAAATAGAAAAGATCAATGAAAAGTTGTTCTTTTGAGAAGATAAACAAAATAGAGATTTGTCTTGGGAGGGGATTAGGATGGCAGAGTAGGGAGGGAGCTTGCTGCTCCAGTCTAGGAGAAGAAGGTTTTTAAAAAGTGGAGAGAGTGCAGTCTCAGGGGAGAGTTAGAGAGAAAACAGCAGAGGAAACTACGCAAATTGGAGGGACACAGTGGACCTACGTGGAGGGCAAGGACGCACACAACCCAGGATCCCAGCAGCCAGGAGCCTCCACACCAGCACTGGACAGTGAGGTGAGACCAGACCACAGCAGCCCAAGCCACTGGCGCTAAAGCTGCAGGACCTAGAGGTCCCTAGAGGGACCCCAGCTTGGAGCCCTGTGGGGAAGTAGTGTACCTGCCAAACCAGAGGAGAAAAACAAGGGGGGGCACATTTTCTCTCTCCCCATCACCCTGCAACTGTGTCCTGTAACCAGCTGATGGAGAGCAGGCGCCATCATGGACATACTAACAGCTTCGCCAGCTCTTGTCAGTGCCCAGCAGCCATCAGAGTGGAGACTCCCGAGTCTGGTGGGGAGAACAGACGGGGGCTGGGTGCTCATGACCATGGGAGGCTTGTGTGCCAAGATTGAAAACACTGAGGCTGCGTGGAGGACTCGGGTGTGGCTGGGACTCTGGGCAGCCACTGTGGGAGCCTCCAGGCACTCGGGTCCCCTGGTCACCTGGCGAGGGACGTTGCAGGGGAATCTGAGCTCACACTGAACTGCACAGAGCCTTAGTGTGGTGCTGGTAGCAGAGCAGACGAGCACTATACCCACTGGGGCTGGCACCAGGCACTGGGCTCCTTTGAGGCGAGGAGCTCAGCTGAGTCTATGCCAACAGACAAGAATAAACCTCCCCTCTGATTAAATAATAATAATAATGATAATAAAATAGGCCGGCGCCGTGGCTCACTAGGCTAATCCTCTGCCTTGCGGCGCTGGCACACCAGGTTCTAGTCCCGGTCGGGGCGCCGGATTCTGTCCCGGTTGCCCCTCTTCCAGGCCAGCTCTCTGCTGTGGCCCGGGAGTGCAGTGGAGGATGGCCCAACTGCTTGGGCCCTGCACCCCATGGGAGACCAGGAAAAGCACCTGGCTCCTGCCTTCGGATCAGCGCGGTGCGCTGACCACAGCACGCCAGCCGCGGTGGCCATTGGAGGGTAAACCAACGGCAAAGGAAGACCTTTTTCTCTGTCTCTCTCTCTCACCGTCCACTCTGCCGGTCAAAAAAAATTTTTTTAAATAAAAATAAAAAAAAATAACAAAATAAAAGATTTACCATGTCAAACTTGGGTGTGTCACCTCAGACACACCTGTCATCCTGGAGCACTGAGCAGAGCTCCCTGGCCACACCCACCACACACCTCTAGGTATTCCCTGACAGCAGACACTGCACTAATCCACACATAGTCCAAAGATAAAAGCCACCACAGCGAAAAAAGAAACCAACAAGTATCTCCACAAATGCTGAATAACAAATGCACCAAGAATAAGGAAGACAATATGAGGCCCCCAGAGGAACACAACACGCAAATTCTAGATTGTGCAGATGATGAGATGAAGAAATGCCAGAAATGGAATTCAAAAAATTGATCATAGGATTACTTAGAAGTAATCAGAAGCAAATGCACAAACTAATGAAATCCATACATGACAGGAAAGAAAATTCTCCCACAAAATTGATATATTAAAGAAAAATCAAAATGAAATCTTGGAAATGAAGAATTCAATAACAAAAAATGCAGTGGAAATCCTTAACAACAAAATTGATGAAGTGGAAGAAAGAATTTCCAACTTAGAAGACAAAACACAGGAAATTATACAGTCAGACCAAACACAAGAAGAAATTAGAAAACTAAAAAACACTGTTACTTATCTACAGGATACTATCAAAGACCCAACATACAGTTCTCGGAGTTCCTGACGGTATGGAAAGAGAGGATTAGAAGGCTTTTTTAGTGAAACAATAACAGAAAATTTCCTTAATTTGGAGAAAGAAAGGGACATCCCAGGGCAGGAAGCACATAGAACTCCTAATAGACATGACCAAAAAGATCGTCACCACGGCACATTGTAATCAAATCTCCACACTAAACATGAAGAGAAGATTCTAAAATGCACACAAGAGAAACACCAGATTACTTTCAGAGGATCTAAAATAAGACTCACAGCGAACTGCTCATCAGAAACCCTACAGGCTAGGAGAGAATGGCGAGATTAAGCCCAAGTCTTAAGAGGAAAAAACTGGCAACTCATAATACTGTACCCTGCAAAGCTCTCATTTATGAATGAAGGTGAAATAAAGACCTTCCATGACAAACAGAAATTGAAAGAAGTTGTCACCATCCTTCCTGCCCTGCAGAAGATGCTTAAGGATGGGAACACAGAAACATGGTCATCACTACGAAAGAAGGTAAAGGAAGGAAATCCAAAGTCAAAAAAAAAAAAAAAAAACAGCGATATTTATGGGAAAATGGCAGGGCAAAATCATTATTTATTAACAGGCACCTTGAATGTAAATGGCATCAACTCTCCAGCTGAGAGACACAGACTGGCTGAATGGATAAAAAAAAAAATCTATTTGCTGCCTACAAGAAATACATCTCACCAATAAAGATGCATGTAAACAAATGAAAGGGTGGAAAAAGATACTCCATGCTAACAAAACCAAAGAAGAGCTGGTGTAACCATCCTAGCATCAGACAAAATAGACCTTAACACAAAAACTTTTAAAAGAGACAAAGAAGGGCACTGTATAATGAATAGGGGATCAATTAAACAGGAAGATGTAACTTTTATAAATGTACATGCACCTAATTACAGAGCACCTGGCTATTTAAAAGAAATGTTAAGGGATCTATAGAGAGACATAGACTCAAATACAAATAGTGGGGATTTCAATACCCCACTTTTTTTTTTTTTTTTTTGACAGGCAGAGTGGACAGTGAGAGAGAGAGAGAGAAAGGTCTTCCTTTGCCGTTGGTTCACCCTCCAATGGCCGCCGCGGCCAGCGCGCTGCAGCCAGCGCATCGCGCTGATCCAAAGCCAGGAGCAAGGTGCTTCTCTTGGTCTCCCATGGGGTGCAGGGCCCAAGCACTTGGGCCATCCTCCACTGCACTCCCGGGCCACAGCAGAGAGCTGGCCTGGAAGAGGGGCAACCGGGACAGAATCCGGCACCCTGACTGGGACTAGAACCCGGTGTGCCAGTGCCGCAGGCGGAGGATTAGCCTATTGAGCCATGGCGCTGGCTGAATACCCCACTTTCAGCAATGGACAGATCAACCAGACAAAATCAGCAGGAAAATAGCAGATTTAATCTACACTATAGACCAAATGGACCTAACATATCTACAGAACT